AAAAACAAGGCATTCATTAGCACTTCTTGTTCTTCTCTTCGAAGTTGCCTTCAGGTCATTACAATACTGCAGCCTTTTTGCACCCATCATCCAGCCTGCTGTTGCTCCAGTGGACAATAATCCCGCCCAGGAGTTCCAGTGGCCTCCACTCCTCAGGAACAAAATACAAAAAATACAACACTATTTTTATCTTGCAGTGTTTTTTTCCTGTATTTTTTTACCTCTGTCCTCCTGGGCAAGCCATTTCGCCTATGTGTTTCTCCCTCCTCACCCAAATCACTCCTGTTGGAAGTAATTTTTAGCTGTTGAGCACAAGATCTAATGCCAGCTGATATTTTATCTCCTTTTTCCAAACCAGCACTTCACAGCAGACAAACAAACCTATCTCCTCATTGCAATGATTTTTTATGTACCATAAACCTGCTATCATCCCCCATTTGCTGAAGATATTCCTTCCCCCCCAAAGCTTGGCTGAGCTCTCAATTACCTTTAGTTTTGGCCACACATTTGAAAGTGTCACCAAAAAGGATCAGTTTGGGTGTCTCTGATGCAGATTTATCACCTTGGGCTAAAATACCTGGGCTGTTTTCCAGCTCTCCCCACCTGTGGCATCAACAGTGTGAGCTCAAGAGTAACAAAAATCCAGCTCTGAACATTCTTTGCTAATAACGAGCTGAGCAAACACCAGCTCTAACATTGACCTGTAAGAGAAAGTTCTGGAGGTATAAAACCTCAAACCACAATTATTTATGGGCAACCTGGTCTTGTGGAAGGTGTCCCTTCCCATGGCAGGGATGTTGGAACTGAAGTCCTTAAGGTCCCTTCCAACACAGACCATTCTATGGCTCTGTGATTTCCCAGCATGGCAGAATTGAGGTTTCTGTTGTTGTGAGGTTTATATGAAGTATTTAACCTGGCAGCATGGGAACGGTGCATGGGAGTGACTTGCTGCTGGCTCTCCATGGAAATTCCTTAGGTTGCATCCATGGCTGAACCTGCCCCATGGCTTACACAAAAGCTGCTGTGCTGGGACCAAAGGAAGTGTCTTTTATCCATTACCTGAGAAACATCACTTCTGGTCATCCATGCTGACATTGTCAGCTTGTGTCTTCTCCTGATATTCTGCCTTCCCCCAGAAACCCAGAGGCACCACATAGATCACTGCCCTGTCTCCTGCCAAGGGATCAATGCAGTTTTCCATGACTGGCATGGCTGAGCTACCAAAAGGCCCCGGAATTTCTCTGCAGGAGAGATGGCATTGAGAAAAACAGCAAGTTAACCTGTATTGCACGAGGCTGGCAGAGAGATACAGCCCTGTGCTGGCCAAAGCAGCAAGTCCTGGCATTTCCAGGTTCCATCACCTGCACTGGAAGAACACAATGATTGAGGCTTGTACTGACACGGGCAGAGCTCCGTCAGCAAGAGTTGTTATTGAACTAAACTCCTGGCAGCTGCTGGTGAATAGCCTGACTTTGTGTCAAAATCTCTCAGGAGCAGTGGAAAACTGAAGAAATTTACAGGATGCATTTGCTTCCAAATATGCTGGGAAATTATCCTGATCTGCAGCTGACAAATGTTTGGAGGAAGATTTCCCCAGAGATGTGGATGGGCTGAAGGTGGGCTGTGGCCAAGGCAGCCCCATGGGAGAGCTCAGGGTGCCAGTGGATCCAAGCCCAGCAAGCAGGGAGAGGAGGGGAATCCTTCAAACCTCCAGAGGTGAAGGGAGAAGTGACTACTTTGGCTGCTCATCTCCATAAAGGAGAAAATCTCCAGGTCCCAAGCAGCTGGTTTGGAGACAAGCCTTGTCTGTGGGTGGTGTGGCTTCCACGAGTGTGTGCTGCACATTCCCCAGGGTCCACAGACCGGCAGAACCGCCAACACAACGTGGTCATCCCCATCATCATCCTTCCATCATCATCCTTCCATTGTCATCCCTCCAAGGGCAGTCTGGGACCCTGTCCCCTTCCTGCCACCTCGTGTCTCCCCCACCTTTGCACCCAGACCCCCAATCCCTCCTGTTAACCCATGCCAGGAGGGTCACGGCTGCCAGCAGGGTGGTGGCAGAGGGATGCCCCGCCCGATGAGCTGTCCCCACTGTCCCCAGGAGAAGTGCCACCTCCTCGGCAGAGCCAACGCTGCTCAAAGTCCCCAGCCAGCCCTGCTGGCCACGACCCTGCATTATGGGGTGCCCCTGACCCCCATTTCAGCCCCCATTGAGAGGCACTGCAGCGAGGGGACACGGGAGCCAAGTGTGTCCCTGGAGAGAGCAGCATCCCTTCAGCCGCTCCTGTCCCTGTCGCTCTCAGCCACCGCCCCTCGCTGCCTGCCCAGCCCAAGGGGACGAAGATGTCCCCTTCCATCAGCTGCAAGCTGCTCTGGGTGTCTCTCTGCACACTGAGAGCTGCCACAGTGCCAGCCCAGCCCCACGCACATGGCTCTGCTTCCCTCTAGTGACAGCACGGCCGCACATCAGCAGCATCATTGCTCCTCCCTGGAGCCTTGGGAATGGAGCGCTCCCTGCAAACCCCATGGACGGGGACTGGGAGCATCCTCCCATCCTCTCATCCCATCCTCCATCCCCACTGAGCTCTGGAGAACTTGACATAAAAGATCCTGTGTCCATGTGAATAATCTTGATTTCTCTCTCTATTTCTCTGCCTGCACTTTTTCATGGACATTCCCTTCCCCAGCAGTGCTGGGATGTTGGAGACCTTTGGGATGGTAACTGGGAAAGGCTGATTTGGAGAGCAGCTGCACAGGGAGGGGGCAATTGGAAGATATGACCCCTTCCCACAGACACACAAACTCAGCTCCCAAATCCTTCCAGCCCACTAATCCTGCCTTGATGCCCACCATCCTTTTCCTAAAACAGCCTCATGAAGCAGGGCATGGGGGAGGATGGAACAGGGATAGAGCTGGACTGCAGTCTCGAGTCTGGGGCACTCAGCTTGGAAAAAAGCAGCCCCAAATTCCCTCTTTTCTGATAAAATACCCAAAACTCATTTAAAAATTATGGTTCCTTGCTCTACTCAGGTTCTCTCCTATGGTGGCCAAAAGCAGCCATGTCCTAATAAAAAAATCTGTATCTTCTGCAAGATGCAATCTCTGTGATGGCTCACCACAGATTTTTTTTTTTTTAATTCCAAAGCTTCTGTACACAAAGCATTTTCTTCAAGTTTCTATCCACAATTTTCCTAGGCTCTCCTCATCATCTTTTAAAAGCTAGACAGCTTATTGAGGAGCTTTGAATTTACCTTCTATTAAATTTTAGCCACCCTCAAAGGTTGTTCCATGACCCAGACGATGATCTCAATGTCTGTTGTCTGTGATGCTCCAAGCGTCTCATCCCATGCCCCAAAAATGTGTTTTGGAGCTTAGGGGACTTTGCATCCTGGTCCCTGGGACCCACCATCCATCCCATGGCAGTGACAAATATCCCCTCCTCTGCCCAGCTCAACATTTGCAGCCCACTTCCCCATGCCTGAGACTCCTTGTCCTCCCATCACCTGGGGACTGGCACTGGAGGAGCATCTCCAGGTCCTCCATGTCCCCATGGCAGTCCTGCAGCCCCTCTGCTGGGTGGACAAGTCAAGGAATCATCGCTCCAGGAGCCTCTGGCAGCCAGGCCCCACCACCAGGGCTTGTTCACTCTGATTTATCCACTCACTGACTGACTCCCTGACTTCTGGTCAGCCAGTTCTGCATGTTTATTCACCGGGGGGGAAACTTCCCTTTGCCCCGTAATTGTTTCTGTCTCTGCCATATTCTGCTTCATCACTGCCTGGTTTTGGGAAAACGGGCTTTTTGGGGAGGTGATTCATTGCTCTATGGATTTTCCTGCATACTCAGTTCATCAGCTTCCCCATCCTCTCCCCCTTGCTATTGCTTCCCCCATTCACCCATTCCCCAGAGTGAATTGATTCACTGTTGAGGTTTATTTTTGGCTTCCAGCTGTTGGGCTCCTTGCAGCTGCCTCAAGCTGGTGTGCTCTTCTCTGCTCCCCCAGAGTCTCTCCTCCTCCTCCTCACTTCCCTCCTCCTGCTCCTCCTGGCTATATTTTTCCATCTAATTCCCCTGCTGCCTTCTCCATGCAATGTTTGGCTATTTTTAATGGTCTGAGTGTGCCCCACCGATGACAACCAGAAGCTGGAGAGCAGCAGGAGTGTGGGGGGCGTTTTGCACGGCACAGATCTGGTGGCAGGACATGTGGCACGAGCAGGGATTCAGGGTAAGGTGCCACTAGCCTCTGGGCACCAGGCTGAAGGGCTGCCACCCGTTCCCTGATCCAGGCTGAGCAGGATCAAGCCTATCCCTTCATTCCTCCATGTTCAGAAGGAACAAAATTCAGTAGCTGTGATTTACTTGAGGTGACACCATAAGCACAAGGTGTCCAGGGTGGCCTTAATCACTGGTCCCCACCAAATCCAAAGGAGCTGCTGTCTGTGGGTCAGTGAAGCCACAGAGATGTGGAGGGGGACATTTAGGTAGCTCTATGCCAACTGCAGCACCCAAAGCCAAGCTCTGGGTCTGTAAATCCCCCAGCTCAGCTGTTATTTAATCTTGGAGGTGTCTTAGCTCTGCAATGCCCTGGGTGCAAGGGGGATCCTGGCCAGGCAGAGGCTGTGTCCCAGGCAGCCCCAGGGAGCTTCCCCTGCCCCTTCCCTTGTGTCAAACCCTCCTGGATGTACAAACTCCTGTGGGGTCTCAGCAGAGGGGTTTAGTCCCTGGGTGATCTCCAGGCCACCCACCTCAGGAACCAAGGACTGGGGTCCCTTGGACACAAGACATGGTGGTGGTGGGCTGAAATCCACCCTCCTCACTTGGGAAACACACTGAGCTCAGCTTCACCCCTCTGAGAATTTTTCCTCACTCCCAGGGCTCTCCTTTGAAATCCCTCCCATTTTCCAGCCCCTTTTTGCAGCATGGACCCCGAGCCTGGGCACAGCATCCCTGTGCCTTTCCCCACACACTTTCCCTGCCCTGGTTTGGCATTTACTCACAGTAGCCTTTAGCTCAGGTGCTGTTTGTGTCTCCCATTTGGGCGATTACTGACCCAGAACCTGTGTTTTAGGGATTTTCCACTTCCTGAGTCCAGGTGCTCTGGCACTGGATCTCATCCCAGACCGTGCCAAGCTCAGGCTTACACAGCTGCAGGCAATTCATCTCACCAGTGATGAATTTCCCCCCCATTTTTGCCAGCAAACAGTTTCTTCTCCAATCCCAGTTCCTGCTGGGGCTGGATGAAGAACTTGGGAGCACAGATCCCAGCCCAAGTGGACGCTGCTGGGAGCAGACCTTCATCCACCCCGTTTGCGGTCACATTGGAGTTGTGCTGGGTTTAACGTGATGGTCACAGCCCTTTTATTACAGAAACACAGAATCACAGAGCGGTTTGGAGTGCAAGGGACCTTAAATATCACCTAGTTACAAGCCCCAGATCATTTAGGGCTAAGCTGAGCACCTTCTGGAAGCCTGAACAGTCTGCAGACCACGTTCTCAGGTGTGAAATCCTGTAAAAATAAGCCACACTAGCAGAGCTTTCTGCGGTCCAGCCTCCACCAGGCACAAATTCCACAAACTTCTGCTTTCCCCTCGTCTCAATCAGCTCTGCATGTCTATTTTTTCTCCACTAGGTCGCAGCATTAACTTCTATTTTCCTCTCCTTACTAAACCAACAAACTGGGGACTTTTATTTTTATTTTTTTTTTCAGTAGGCAGCTCTGCCTTGTCACCCCTCCGTCCCCTCCTGGCTCCTGCCGGGAGCTGTGGTGACTCAGTGTGGGGTGGCTGGGGCGTCCCCTGGGGTCCCTGCAGAAGGGCCTCAGCTCCTATTTGCATCTGGGCTCGCCTTGCTCACATTCATTGTGAAATTAAAAGTGAAAAAATAAATATCAATCCCTAATTAAATCACCAGCATGCAGCCTGGAGGAAGGGGACATTGAAGGACCACCAACGCACTCCTTATCTCTCCTCCCAGACAGTTCTTTCCCCCGGTGGTGATGATGAGGACTGAGAAGTTTTTCCAGCTGATTTACAGCTTCATCCTCATGAACTGGCATGTAGGGAGGTTTCCAGCATGGAAAACACGAGTGGTGTGTCCAGCTCCTTCCCCAGGCCCAGCCCTGCTGCCACCCCTTCCAAGGGCAGGATAGGATGCTCTGGATGTTCTCTCGGGCATGGGGCTGGGTCTAGCAGGAAATACGGAGCAGTTGCCCCTTCCAGGGCTTCCCATCTCCCCAGTTCAGCACTCTGGAGGTTCTGGTGTGGGGGGAGTTGCTCTCTGGACCCCTCCACATGGACAGAAAGCCCCCAGCGTGGGAGATGGGGCTGGGTCCCATGGGAGATGCAGGTGCTGGTGACTCATGCCCACAGGTGTGCCCACAAATGCTCTGGCTGCTGCCCTGGTTTTGGGGGAGCACAGGGGGTTTGAAGGAGGGTTTCTGTGCTTTCACTATGAGCAAATGGTGCCAGCGGCGGGGAAAAAAGCCCTGCACAGTCCTGAGGAGCTGATGGTGAGCTAAGAACCGGCTACGAACACAGGAAAAGTGGGTGTAGAGACACAGGCAAGCTCCTCCCCACCGTGCTGGACTGTGACAAAAGGCACCAGTGGCAAAGTGGGACACGGGAGGCTCACATCCAGCTCTTGCTGGGAGACACTGCTGCCCTGGGACACAGACCACCTAAACTGTACCCCCCTGACTTAGGGGATTTAGGGCTTGGCCAGAACGTGGCTGACACCCTGGGTACAGTCCTGCTCAGAGTGGGAGGCTGGACTTAAGGTTAAGATGTTCCTTGGCCCAAACATTTCTGTGCAAGTTTGCTTAAAAAAAAATAAATTGCTTTTCCTGCTTCTGTATGTCCTCGAGCTGCTTTTGTGCTGTTTCTGCAGCCCTGAGCTCTCCAGCTTATGAAATACTGGTGTTTCCAACAGCAACAGTGATGCAGAGATCCAAAGGTGGAGGAAGCAGCAAGGAGGAGCACAGGAATCCCCTGTGGCAGCAGGAAATGCCTGGACAGATGGGTGCCAGGTCCCCTTTGGAGCCATCCAGGCATTGTTCCACAGTGAATTATCATTTCTCCTTTTCCCAAATCCTTCTCAGCTCTCTCCTACTCAAACCCACACCCCAGGGGCCCTCTGAGGTCTCAGCTGTGCTCATCTCTCCAGCTCCTGTCCCGTGTTTGGGGTAGATCCTTTGCAAACTCACCAGCCACCAGCCAATGCAGGCTCACAAATCCTCCCCTCGCTGCCCCACTGCTTCCCTGTGCCAAAGCCAAGTGCTGAGGCTGGAGAGCGTTTTCAGATGTGGGACACGGTCCCTCAAAACCTTCCTGGCCAGAGGATTCTGCAGCAGGAATAAAAGGTGGATGTGCTGGAAGCTCCAGCTTGGAGGGAGCCCAGGACACGTGTCCTTGTGTGGATGGATCCGGCTGTGCCTGGGGCAGCTGAGAGCACACAGTGTTCAGCAGTGCTGTTCCCAAGGGCTCCAGGGGCTGGAACATCTCAAGAGGAGCACTGCAGCCTCACCCTCAGGGTTTTCCTGGCATTTGACCAAGTCCCACAAGTACAAGCTATTCCCAACACAAGAGGCACACGCTCGGTACCGCTGGCTTCCCTCTGCCCTCCCACTGCTGCCGTGGTCTCCTCTGCTTCCCCAAACGCAATTCCTCCACAGCTGCCTCTGCTAAAGCAACAATGGACCCAAGCCCTCAGCACCTGAGGTAACCCCCAGTTTATTCTATCCCAGATCCAGCTTCTTTGTGCTGCCCTTGCTCTGTGATGAGCTTCATGGGAGCTGCAGAGGGTAGGAGAGGTGAAGAGATCTCCACATCGCTCATGAGTACTTTGGCTTGAATTATGTCCTGTTCTTCCAGACCTGTGGCTTTTTACCTGGAGTGACCTTCCCTGACTCGTTGTTTACCTTGAGAGAAAGGGAACATTTGCTGCCTAGTGGATCTCAGCTACAGCTTTTCAGGCAGCGATGAAAACACTCGAAGCCTAAGAGCAACATCTGAATTTAAAAAATCATAATTACAGCGCCCAAGAGGCAGAAGTTGGACGAGGGCAATGAACAAAGCAGGGGGTTGGAAGAAAACAAAGAAAGGCATGAGAGGAATCTGCGCTTTGAACAGAGAGTCCTGAATATCTTGCACTGGCTACTTCAAATTGGGCACCCGAAATTAATAGATTCTTTGACCTTTGCTTCTCTGTGCTCTGGTTCTTTGTAAAGCAGAAACTACAATAGAGCGTCACCAAAGGAAAAAAAAAAAGTCATCAGAGCAACTGCTCTGGCCAAAGCACTCGGATGCTGCAGAGATGAGGATGAAGAAGGAAAAAAAAAACAAACCCTAACCCTGAATGGCTTTTCAGCAAGTGAGTACCAGCATCGCGTGCGGGGAACGGGGCAGTGTCCTCTGGAATAAAAAAATACCTCCAAAAGTGTAATTAAGGATGAACCACACACACCCACAGGGGTTCTGTGGGCATCCTGAAGGCAGCCATCTCTTAACTTTTAAATGCCTTCTCAACCTTGTCACTTCTGGTGTTATTTTGACCGGTTTTACGCATAGGACTCTGCTATATTAAGAGCATGTCTACATATCTCACAAGTAACTGCCTGCAGAGGAATGCCTGGTACAAACAAACAGAGCCTTGAGGCTGCTCCCTCTGGTCTGAGGAGCTGGATATTGTGCTTGGGCAATTCCAAGAACAGGTACAGAGAATGGATGGGGAGCAGCCCTGGGGAGAAGGATTTGGGGTGTTGGTGGATGAGAAGCTCAACATGACCCAACAATGGCTGATGGCAGCCCAGACACCTCCCCAGTCCTGGGCTGCATCACAAGTGTGGGCAGCAGGTCAGGGAGGGGATTGTGCCTCTCTTCTCCATTGAGGCGAGATCTCACCTGCAGAGCTGCCTCCAGCCCTGGGGCTCACAACACAGGAGAAACAAGGGATGTGTTGGAGTGAATCAGGAGGAGGCCACAAAGATGCTCCTAGGGATGCGGGCCTGCTGCTCTGGAGCCAGGCTGGGGGAAAAAAAAGGCTCCAGGAAAACCTGAGAGCCCCTTCCAGTGCTTAAAGGGGCTCCAAGAGAGCTGGAGAGGGACTTGGGACAATGGCATGGAGTGACAACACAAGTGGAAATGGCTTCCCACTTCCGGAGCGGAGGGTTAGGTAGGATATTGGGAAGGAAATCTTGTCTGTGAGGGTGGTGAGACACTGGCACAGGCTGCCCAGAGATGCTGCGGCTGCCCCATCCCTGTAAGTGTCCAGGGCCATGTTGGATAGGGCTTGGAGCACCCTGGTCTAGCAGAAGGTGTTGGGAAGTTGAAACAAAAGGATTTTTTCAAGGTCCCTTCCAATCCAAACCATTCTGTGATTCTGTTCTGGTGATCATCACTGACCACACCATCACGTTACTTCACTGGACTTCACTGCTGGATCCTGTTGGATTTATTACACCGTGGTCTCTGCAATGGCTGCTCTTGCTGCTGTGCAGGATGCAAGAGGAAGGATAAAATCCACATGCCCGTATTCTGGAGTCTTGCTCCTTTAAACAGATGTGGGAGGGAGGGTTGGTAAATCCTTTGACAATTTTTCATCTTGCCTCAACTGGGCTGGGCTTCGGGCTCAGTCTGTTGTCTGGTCCCCTGTCATAGCTGCTGTTGTAATGATTCATCCATCTGGTTTTCTGGGAAAAGAAAATGAGCTAGGGGAATGGTTTTTGGTTGATTTTTTTTTTTTTTTTGGCTGTATCTTTCCTGAAACAGTTACAACTTTGCACCCACTGGAGTTGACGGGGGGAGAAGGAGTCTTACGCATCACTTTTCGCTTGCTGGAGCAGAGACAGAAGTGCTGAGAATCTCATTCCTCAAAGTCAGACTGTGACGGTTTTGTCCTGAATTGTGTTTCCAAGGAGCAAAAAGGATCCAACAAAACCCAGCAGAAGATTCAGGCTGTCTTCAGCGGGTGCACTGGACAAAACCTCGTGCTGATCACTCCAGGGACACCCGCTCCTTCTGCTGGCTCTTCACCTGCCTGAGCTCTCCAGAAATGATGTGGGAGGAGCTGCAGGGAGGCAGCTTGGACACAAATCCAGTGGAAAACAAGGACACTGAAGGTCTTCTCACTGGATTGAAACAGTTACTCTCATGAGTGGTGTAATTTATCATAAATCAGATAAATACAGGGGAGAAAAAAATCTAAGTAGTTCATACTGGGCGATGTTCAGTCCCAAAGTGCAACAAGAAGCCACAATGGACTTCTTCCTTGTTGGTCTGCACAGTAAGGATGAGACAACGTGCTCATCCAACTGGGAACATTGAGGCAACCTACTTCTTGGTTAAGGAAAGTGGCACTGTAAAGTCCCTTTCTCAGCAGCCCTTAAAAACTCTGTTATAACCAGCCAGCTCCTTCTCGCTCCAGGAATGCATCTTCCTTGGTCCAAGCTTGGTTAGAGGTTAGGCTGGGAAAGCAGCAGCCTGCCTGGGAGCAATCACTCTGTTCAGACACATGTTAATGAATTTCCATCAAAGGGGTCAGGTATCAAAGTTCTTTTCTATGCTGCTGGAGCAAACCTTCCTGTGACAAATTCCTGCCCTTATTCCAGCTCCGTATCTGTTACAAGTGACTCCTGTGAGAACCAGATCCTCCTCAAACCCACCAGCACAGGAACTACCCTCCTTGCTGGTCCAGCATCCTTCCTCTCCTGCCCCCCACCCTTTTTTTAGGTCTCCTTCTCCTCACCAGCCTTTCCTCGCGCTTGCCCGTTCCATGATTTCATCCGAGGTGGGTGGTGAGCTCGCTCTCCCCCGCGCAGCCTCTTCCCAGCGGCTCCCGGGATCTCTGCCAGCTCCTCTCCACCCACGGCCTCTCCCGACGAGCCGAACCGCGCGGCTCTGCCCGCGCCAAGGCAGCATCTCACATCTGGTGGGCTGGCTCGGCCAGGGGCAGGGGAGCCAAGGAGCACCTCAGCGATCCCCCTGCACCAGTGCCTTCCAGGGGCTGGCATCTCCACCCCTGCATCCCACAAGACCCCCGGCTTCCCGCACAGGACACGGCGATGGGTCACTGAAGTGACTCTTGAACGTCTGAACACTGCAAACCCAAATTTGAGTTTAGAAAACAGCTTTGCGAGTTGAAAACCAAATGAAAACTGCCTTTTTTTAACCCTTTTTTCCTGAGTTGCTCCTACACATAAAACCTCTGTGTGGATTTAAGCATTCCCAGCCTGGCTAATGCAGGAGCACCAGGCAGTGAAGTCAGCTGGTCCTATGGGTTCAGATATTGTGGAGCTGAAGATAGCAAAGCAGATTTGAATCAGATTTTGAATTTGTTAAGCCAAAGTGTTAAAACTGAAAACAGAGCACAGGACAGCTTCTCAAACCTCTCAGGTTATTCCCTCCACTCTTCTGCCACGATTTAAAAAAATTAATCTTTTCACTATTGCTCCCAATGCCATTTCTGTGAGTCCATAAAACCACCTTCTTCTTGTCAGAGAATTCCGACGCCGGTGATTTATAGGCTTTGCTTGGAACACAGCACATAAGTACTTCACTTTTTCATTCGCCCTTTCGAAACGTTTTTAACGATCTGCTTCCTCAGATCTGTTTACATTTGGGACATTAAAAGCTAAGCAACAACTCCATTATGAGAAAGAACACCATAAAAATTCCACCATTGCCAGGAAACATCTCAATACAGTGACAAACGTAGCCACTCTCTCGTCCTGCTGCTCATCCGTAGGAAGACTGGTTTATAAATTATTCATGAGTGCCTTAAAATTTCCAAGCTAATCTCAACTAAAAAGTGGGGTTTTTTACACCATTGTTTCGCTCCAAAGTTCTCCAACTGGAATTTTGATTTGCATAGTGAAATCTTTAAATTTACTTGCACTGAATTTCTCTTTCCTTCAAGTTGTGATTTCAGTTCTCACACTGGAAGCATAGTGGAGAGTCTTTACTTATTTGGAAGCCTGGAAATCCGTGATAATCCCCATGAATTTCCTGAGAAATTTGGGTTTTCCCAGAGGTGGTTTTTGAGCAGGTTTGGATTTGTAAGGGTTTTGGTACCTTTCAGCAGGCAATCCCGTCACCCCATGGCATTTTTAGTAAGGATGAACTATATGGGGGACTACCAAGCCATTCTCTTCCCAGTCTGTTTCACAGTAAGAACAGGGAAGATTGAAGATTAAATCATGGCAAAATCTAACAGAGAAAATCACTTTGGGGTCCTCTGGAGGCTACTAACAGAGCAGCTCACTCACCTGTGCTCGTGGATTTTACAGCTTTCAGTCTGTTCTGGGATTTAATCCGCACGGTGGCATTGGAGTATCTTCCACGCAAAATCATCAATTATAAATAAATCCCCCTGTGTTTTTATGCAATAATATTATAGAAGAACAGACAATCATGATATTTGAAGCAATGAAGTTAAAAGAGCTGATGTCCGTGCTCTGCCATGCATTGCTCAGCAAACTGTTGCCACAGCCGGCTCCTCCACACAGCGCTGATACCCCTTCCCAGCCACTTCGTCCCAAACTGTGCTGCTCCAAATGAGGGTCAGTGTGTGGTTCTCCAGGGGGGAATCCAGCCAGAGATATGCAGGGCTTGACACACTGATTGCTTTGGGAGAGTAGAGACCGAAGAAAACTTTATTCTGCAGCAATATATGAATAATTCTTTTCTGTGAGGGTGGTGAGGCCCTGGCACAGGGTGCCCAGAGAAGCTGTGGCTGCCCCTGGATCCCTGGAAGTGTCCAAGGCCCAGCTGGATGGGGATTGGAGCAATCTGGGATAGTGGAAGGTGTCCTTGCCCATGGCAGGGGTGGCACCGGATGGTCTTTAAGGTCCCTTCCAAACCAAACCAATCTGTGACTCTGAATTTCATTAGCACCAAAACACTTAAGTCAAATCTTTGTGATCCCAAGGCGCATCTCATCTTTTTGAGCCAAGGGGGCATTAAAAACCTTCTTTGACATGGAGTAAATTATTTTACTGACTTGCCCCCAGGACTGAAGACAGATCATCTGCTTCCATGGCAGGTTGTCCAGAGAGGAATCCTCTGGGGGAGACAGACATGATGCTGAGAAGGCAGCACAGACAGAAACTGCACATGAGGGGACTAAAATACCCAGCAATCCAGGCAGCAGAGCAGGCAGCCACACATCCCTCCATGGACTGTTCTTGGAAAGTTGATGGAAATCCAGTAGAGTGAGAATGACATCAGGAAAAACATTTTTTGCCTCCTATTTCAAGGAGCTGGGTGGGAACATCTTCTGACCCAGAGTCTGTAACCATTACACTGATCAGTACACACTGAACATCCTCTTGTCTGCCCAACAGCAGAGGTGGGAGCACGCAGCTGGTCCAGCTTTTCTGCTTGAAGCCCCAAAGTTCTGGATGTTTCCAGAGGAGATGCACCTGCAGCACCTGGAGAAGAGAACCCAGCAGTTTGATGGACCATTGTCAGAAAACAGGAGAGCAGAACTGTTTTAGTGATACCTGGAAAGTGACAACCTCTTGTAGGCAGCTTAACCCAGGTTGCTTCACTGGAGTTTGCTTCACTGCCCTCACTGGATCTGATTCACCAGATAGTTAGAAATTCTAACACTATTTTCATTTGGATTACCCAAACAAGGAGGAATTTGCTCTGCTGGCACCTTTACACTGCTGTGAGCTCTAACAGCCTGTTTTACTGCACAGCAAAGCTCTGCCAACACAAGCCTCTGCTCTTCATACTTAGCAAAGGTCCCAGCAGGACTCAACCAGCCCACAGTAAAAGCCACAATACCCGAATTTATCCTCCTCGTACCTCTGCTGCCCATTCTGCACTGGAAATGTATGCTAAGGACACAGCAGATCCCACACAAACAAGTTATTTTTGGTTAAGAAGTCTCAAACTGGCTTGAAGAAATCAGGGAGCATCTTGTAGAATATCACAATTTTGTCTCATTTACTGTCCCACTCTTTCATAACCATC